CCCCAGGATGGGGTGTTTGAGAGTCCATGGGTGGAGAGGAAGGCCCCCTCTGACCTTGGCGATCTGGTCAAACTTGCCGAAGAGCTCATTGAGCATGAGCACCAGCTCCTTTGGGGAGCACTCGCTGGCCAGCCGTGTGAAGCCCACGATGTCAGCATACAGCACACTGCGCAGGGCAGACCTTGTTAACGGTGTCAGGACCTCAGTCCACAGCCCTCCCCTCTGGTCACCCTTCCTCATACCTGACTCCTTGGTGCCTCTTCACATAGAGGCTGTGGAAGTTATTGGTGTTCTCTGGCTGTGACCCCTGTCCAGCCTGCAGCCGTGCCATGATCTCTGCTTTCATCTCTCGGGCCAGGTAGGCAGGAAGGATGGACAAGAGAAGGTGTTCCTGGAGAAGGTCACTGTGAGCACCACCTCTCCCATACTCAGCCCTCCAGACTACCCAGGAGCCCACACACTGCTGCCTCCCAGTGTACTCCCCTCAGGCCTGCCTGTTCCAGCACCCCATCCCTTCCTGATCACCGTTAGGGACTTAATGCTCTGTACCAGCACCCGAATTAGAGTGCTTCACTTAATATAATGTCTTGAAGTGCTTTGAGCCTAGCGACAACCTTCCGAGTTGGTTGGGCAATAATCACATTTTATACAAAAGAGGAAACACCCTGGAAGTTCAAGTAACTTGTTCAGAGTCACTGGGCTTGTGAAAGAGCCCAGGCATAATGTAAACAATTCTCTCTGAGCAGGGGTCCAGGCTGCCTCCCAGGCCCAGCTGACCTGGTGCTTTTTCTCTGTGTCCAGTCTCCGGCGAGAGTGCAGGGAGCTCAGTGCTTCCCGGAAGGTGGCGCGCAGCGCACGCTCCATCAGCGCCTTGTGGTAGGCTCCCACCACATTCCCACACAGGAACAGCACTGCATTCGCTGCCAACTGTGGGAGAGGGCCGGCTTCAGAGGGAGCAGGACCAGGGCAGGGTGTCTGGGCTGTAGCTGAAGTTGTTTTCCAGACTGGGCTGGGGTGGGTCTGGCTCTACAGTTAGGGATCCAGGCATCTCAGGGGAAGTGGTGCCACACTGTGAGGTTCCCAGAGTGTCTCCCTCCCAGCACTCTCTGCTCTAGACTCTTGGCTGCTGGGCCAATGTGGTGTCTTAGGTCTGGAAGTCTTTACAATTTGCACATGCCTTTCCTCTGCCTGGAATCCCACTTCACCATCCTCATCTGCTGCCTCCAGCATAGCTGTACAAAACTACTCAAGTCCTGATTTTCATTCTCTGAAGTTTCCATTATCTGCTTCGGCCTCCACACCCTTTTTCTCTTGGTGAACTATGACCCCCTTCCCTGTGGGCCCAGGGCCCTCTTCTGGCATCAGGAGGCACGACATTGCCCTGGTGTACCAGTGGCAAGAGGGCATTGCCCAGGTCCATGTGTCTGGGTCCTGCACCCGCTGTAGCACTCAACCTTACAGTCATAACTCAGTAAATGCTCAGAGGAACTGCAGCAGAGCAGGCCCAGGGCACTGCCTGTACTACCTGCATGCTTACCTGTGGCAGCAGTGCAGGTCGGGAGTCCGGCTGTGGCCCAAGATAGAGCCCGAGGACCAGCAAGTGTGAGAGTGAGGAGGTGAGGCCTGCGGCGGCAGCTTCCCACATGCCCAAGGGCAGCATGGCATACACAGTGAAGATGATGAAGAGGAAAAAGGACACCTGGGGTAGGCGCAGAAAGATGAAGGCCCACGCAGCACAGCACTGGCCTGGGTGCTGACTCCCCCACTCCTTGCCGCCATCCCTCTTACCTGGTCCCAGGCACTCACAACGCCCCCAGTAAACAGGAATCCCTGGCCTAGAGCCAGCAATGCAGCCCACACGAGGCCAGACAGTGGTCGTGTCCAGCGCTGCAGTCGCTGCTCACGGGAAGCGAGGCCCAGCAGCAGCAAGAAGCCGCCCAAAGCACATAACACGGTGGTAAGGAAGCCGGGGTCTGAGGTCAGCTCCTGTGGGGCAGAGGCGTGTGGGGTGAACTGCATGGGAGCTCAGGGTGCTTAATCAAGATGAGGAGAAACCAGTTAGATAGAAGGAGAGTAAGCAGCTCCCTGGACATTTCTGAAAAATGTCTCAAACCCAAACATGAGAAGGAAGCACAGCACTTCCGTTCACCATGCATATTAAGTTGCACCATGAGAAACTGCAAGCCGGGCAGGGTGGTACACACCTGTGATCCCAACACTCTGGGCAGCAGAGTGCCCCTGGGTTTGATCCCTGGATGGCTGGGGATGTACCTTCAACAACAAGGCCCTAGTTCAATCCTTAGTACCGGGGGGGGCGGGGGGGGGGAAAGACTGTATCTTTTTGTTTTAATCAGCCACGTTGGCAGTGTCATATGGTTCAATCTAGTATCTCGCTTGCATGCTGCGGTGAAACCTGGGAGTTACAGAATAGCCAGTTTTGATCCCGTATCGGCTATCTGTAAAAACATGGTCTTTCCACAGTTTTAACTGTCAGACCGGAATTATGGCACCCGCCTGGTGTCCGGAAGCAAGCAAACGACTTTAGCTCACAAGATGACACTAAGGAATGAATGTCACCAAGTCAGGATAAACTTGGGGTGGCGGGCGGGGGGCGTAACTAGAGGCTTCTGGGGCAGCGCGCAGCAGCTCTTGAACAGCAGGGGGCGCTCCTCCTCTGCACCTTCCGAGCAGCCAAGGCAGGGGTTCCGCCACCTGCATCTGCTCGGGCAAATCCCCCGACTGCTCCTGCCCTTTGTCCCCCCCTTTTTCCGGACTTTGGGTGGAGCAACAAGGCCTAGCCACACCCATCTGATTTTCCCACCTTGCCTCCAAGCAGTGAAAAGAAAGCTAGGAGCAGGACACGTCCAGCTACGGAATTGAAGACCTTCCTCCTCCTCAAAGAGGGCCTGAAAATGGATTGATTTGGGGTCTCGCTGAGAGCCAACCGAAGGGGCCTTCTGGGACTCTGTGGGTACAACCGCCCCACGTTGCCAAAGAGGGAGAAAAAAGCAGGAAACGAATTCCCACAGGGGCTCCAGTAGAATTTCCCCTCTGGAAAATGGGAAAATCTGGTGGTGGAGTCAGTGTTCTAGAACCGGTGGACGCAGAAACTTCGGAGGTCTGTTAGGGCCGGGAGGGAAAAGAGAAGCATCCGGGCCCGGAGAGCGATGCCCGCGGGGCAGAGACTGCCCGGGGTCCCAGCAGCTGGAGCCAGCAGCTGGAGCAGGGCTCCGCGCTGCTTCGCTGGCTCTCAGAAAAGAAAACACGGGAAGGAAAACCCTAAACCCGGATCCCGAAAACGCCCCGGGCAGAGACCCCGCCCCGCCCGCCGCGCGCTCACCCTGCCGCTGGCCCAGGCCACGGCGAGCAGCGCCAGGAGCGCGCACAGCACGACGGCGAGCAGCAGCAGCAGCAGCGGGTACTGCTGGCTCAGGCTGTAGTAGGTCTCGTAGAAGAGGTCCTCGCTGGGCGCCGGCCGGGCGCTGCAGAGGCGGGCCATGGTCTCCGCCGCCCTGGCCGCGGGCCTGGCGCG